AAGTTTATTTTTATACTTAATGTGTGTGTAACTATATAAAAAGACTTAAGTGAATATTACTGTGTGTACGTACGTTTAACAAATACAAGAAGTGTGTAACACGAACGTCACGTGAGAATAATGTGTATTTCACACACTAATATGTTTATATTATTTCCGAACAAATACAGTTGAGACAATTTGACGTTAGCAATTGATCTCAATTCTCTTTAACTCCATCAAGACATCTATATTGTTGGATTTAAGGTGTTCACCGGACAATAATAGCATGTAAACGTCATAAGATAAGGAGGATGGTATGTTACTACTGAGGAAAGGAAAGTCAATGTAATTAAATTTGAGTTGTTTCGATATCACTCGGTAATTTCGTAACATTACTATTACGGACCTACATCAATCAGACTGTCAACGTATCAAACAAATATGTTCTATGTAGCTACAATAATGTACATAATGATAACAATGGTGGGTCAATCTTTGATAGTGGAAAAGAGAACCTTCCAACACTGTATCTTATTGAATCAAACAACATTCTTAATGGATCAATCGAATCAAAAAGATATTCAAATTTTTGGTCATTAACGTTTTTTCAGTCTTTTAAAGCTCGTAAAGAAATAAAGGCATTGAATGATTTTATACAGTGACACTTCATGCTGACTGTTCTTGTGTATAAAGAAGCTACACCATACACTGCAAACATGATTTTAGGGCAAATTATTTCGCATATCAACGTCTACTTCCTGTCTGAAAGGCACTTACCTGTCGAAACTTCAGGGCAGTATTGTTTGCACTTCACCAGGTCAGTGTAGGTATAGAAAAGTAAATTGTTTATTTAGGGTTCGGACCTGCAGCTCACGTGCACTTTTGTTCCATGTCAATATCGGAAATGACGTCACGATCACCTTGGTGATTTTTGTTGACATTGCCGGAGATCCAGACTATGTTTAGAACTGCAATAATTGAAGCGTATTCATTATGACGATTTGTTAATACGTTCGTATCTTTATAAGTCAATTTAACACTATAAGTTCGAGGACATAATTTTTCGACTTAAATTGAATGCTGGCAGCATTGGGATACATTGTTAACACATGGATTTCACTCACCCTTAAAACAGCATGGACAAACCATATCATTTTTAGAATATTTACCAAAGCCATTTTGTGTTTGTTTGTTGCGGGTGTTATTGTTGTCGTTAAATCAATAAAACGAGTAAAAAAGAAATTGAAAGCAAAACAGACAATTTGTCAAATGAATGAGGTAAGGCGGCCAGATCATAAAACAGTGCAGAATAAAGTCAAAAAGCTGCACGCCGATAAATATTTCCTTTACCCTGTTATATCATTTCTATTCGGAGAGAAGGACGATTTTTAGCATGTTGTACACATAAACTTATGATAAATCAGCCCCGTATGTCACTGAATCTTTGATAATTTTGGGGCAATGAGTATCGAATAATTGCGAAGCACCAGACGTACACTGTACAAACTGTTATATTATGATCATTTAACAGTACAGTCCTGTTACTGTGATGTGTAAATACACCCGTCCACACTCAAGTTCTACAAAGGTGTCGTTGTTGACTTGTTTATAATCAACAATAAAATCGCTTACATATGTGTCCCTTAAATCGGTAGTCGCCGTTATCGAAGCAAATCTACTTTCGTGACCCGTGTTAAAACACATACTTCTCTTAAAGCATTAAACAAAGCGTAGCTGAATCGAGCTATTTTGGTACATATATAACAACTAATTGTGCATAGGCCTACATTGTAGTCGAATCGACATCGATTTGTGGACAGCTCGTACATATTTTACACCTTTGTGCACATACGCTTCACTGGTCATTTGTCTGATGAATGTGACAGAGCACATACCGTTCTAGTCATTGATACGTCACATTGAAACACAAATTAGTTGTGTAACGAGAAAATATTCATAATCCATATTTACCAACCTGAAGAAATATTAAAAAATATATACTTCTCTGATATATATTTTATCAAAATGAGATATTATATTTTGTACTTGTGTTGTTGCTTTTAAAACTTTCATATTATAAATGGACGGCAGGCCTTGACAAAAAACGGTAAGTGAAGTGCCTCCTGGCTTAGAAGTACGTGTACTAAGCATTATTCACATTAGACTGTGACACAAAACACAGACAACGTATATACTGTGAAATCAAATATTTTCGTGGAGCCCAAATTTGGTGGTTTTCCGACAAAATTAAGCACCATTTCGTGGTGGAGACCCGGATTCGTGGATTACTGGTACAAACTCAAGAGGATGATTACTTCTTTTTTTCAACTTGTTATTACTCAGTGGATCAATGTTATCCGCGAATCAATTGACTTAAAACCCCACGACAATTAGTGATTCCCCAGTACTAGGGTAGCTCTAGAGAAGCACCAGTCTAACAAGAATACACTGTTACACATTGAAACCGTTTACGTGTCGTTAATGTATACTCTGTCCTTTAGGTAGTTATATTGGTATTGACATATACATAATAGGCCCGTACTAGTTTTATCACAAGAAGGCTAACATATCACTTGTGAAAAAGATTAATTGCAAGTATATCACCAGGGAAACATAAAATAATTAATACCAAATTACTATAGAAATAGCTCGATTGCTCGTGTATCAATAGTGAAAGATATTACATGTCAGTATACCACTAGTAAAATATGTATGAATTGTAGGTATATCAATAGTGAAATCAATTTCAAGTAAGTTGATCACTTGTGAAATGTATATTACTTATTGGTATATCACTAGTGAATGTATAACATGGTAGTATATCACTAGTTAATATATTACATGTCAGTATATCATTAGTGAAATGTATATATATATCAGTTGTCAGTGCATGGGTAGTGGATCAAATTAAGAATAACGCTTTCAGATCAGTTTCAGTCAAACACTATAACAATGAATCTTATATAAAAAAATATCAAATACTGTATACGGACATAAAATGGTTCTATAAAATAAGAATGCTTTCACGAAGAGTACCAAAATGGCAGGGACATATTGTTCTTATTAGTGTTGCTTGTTGCTTTTTAAATATTAATATTTTTTGTTCTCTGACGTGCCATTACATGTATGTAGCGCTTAGCTCTTCCAACAGAAGAAATCACGACGTCCCGGATGTTCAAGAGTTACGATTTGTTTGTTTAGTCATTATCGAACTTCATAAAGATTCTTTAAATATACAAACAAACAAAACAAAACAATCCGTTCGGACTTTTTCCTGTGATCTAGCCATGAATGCAATCTTAATGATACATTTCCTATCACATACAAAGATGTGTATTCTGTGAATAATTTTTGATAATTTTTTTGTTACAATAACCAGACATTATACATGTGTGTATCTTGTTATGAAAATAGCTGGTTTAATAAGTACATTAATTTTGTACTACAGAATATTGTCCTGTGGGCGTTTTGAATGATTTTAACGGTTATGCTGTGGGTTAAAGACCTTGATACTTTTTTTCTTTACAAAATAACACTTTGGCTATCGGACAGATCAGAATGCTTTTAGAGTCAAGCATGATGTCGAATAAAAACTTCCTATGCGAGAGTAAAAAAATATTATAGATAATATGAATTATTTACATTAAAAATAGCCACATTATATGTATTTCCGGGTCACTGTTTAATATTGTATCAAGGTAACAACCACATTCATTTCCCTTATGGACAGAGTAAGGGAAATACTCGTTTTCAATGACTTTGAGGAATAAAAACCATCTTTGATACAGTAAACGTATTTTGGTGGTAGCATTATTTAAGCGCATTTGAGATTTGAATAAGGATAACGTAAATTAAATCTTCTGTGTATCGCCTTCTATTGATCATTATGTACACACATTTATATATACATGTAAGTTAATCGGTTAAAATTTTATCAGGCGCTTAAATAAGTACTTCCATACGTATTTGTTAATATGATGTTGCTTTCAACCAATTTTACGCATGCCTTTTCTAACAAAACGAGTATGATTTGTGATTTTTTACGGTGTTAAGGTGAACTTTATAATTACCGACTGATAAATGAACCAATATGCTTGTCACCTCTATCCTAGAATCCGTCAATCTGCAGATTTTCAACGAACATGGTACATTACCCGAATTTCAAAACACGCTCTGGCAAATCAATACCATGAAGATTTGTGTGAAGAGACATCATTAATGGACATGCAGCTATTGAAAACAAACACAGAAAAGGAGTACCCAGGTATTCGACAATGAGTCCATTTTACTCCCTGTCCAGACAAGTTGAGTAGACAGTGAGTCAGATTTACCCGTACCCAGTTATTCGACAATGAGTCCATTTTACTCCCCTCCCACAGGCAGTCTGACTCGTGATCAAAGTTTTCACCCGTGCTATTGCTTTCTCAACACAACTGGCCAATGTTCTGAAATCAAGATCGATATAGGTAATATGTATTGCATTACGTATGTCCTGTTTTTCCTTGTATCGGTGAACATTTTTAATCTTGTGTTTATTGTTTTTCACTTTCGGTAACATTATTAAAATAAAGCATTACCCTGTCAACTTTGTATGTTACAAGTGGCGTAGAATTTTGTTTTCATTTTACCACTATTTAGTTAGTGTGGCGTAACCAAACTAGCTGGGTTTAAATATATAGCTTGATTGACGAATTGTGATTACCCTTTTTATTCCGTCATTTTATGTGTATTCGACTAAATGGTACAGTTGTGTTAGAATGTTTAATTCCGTAGTCACGGATGACTGAGCACGATCGAAGGTAGATACCTATTAGGTCACACCTGTTAGTTCATACCGTACCATAGGTAGCGTAACTGGCAGTTACCTGTCTGTTGGTGTTCATCTTCTGTTGGATATTAAGTTTTATAAAAACATGATGTTTATATGAATATCTGACCGAGTTAACAAACATACTATGGAAAGAAAAATTGTCGTTTTAATTCTCGCTTCAACATTTTTCGGATTCTTCTCACAAGTAATGTGTGAAGAAGCTGCCACAACGGACTACGAAGGTATGTATACAGATCAAGATGCATGTTCAAAATATTTGAATTTAATCTTCATGTAGTTCATCTCATACCTGAAAACAATTACTTAACTATATAAATTGTATTTTGAAAATATTTTTAGATGTTATGAAAATGGTTGATCTTCGTTTACTCTTCATGTTATACTGTCAAAGTTCGATGTTTCCAAATTAACCGGACCATTTAGAAAAAATGAAACGACGAGACTTCGACTAAATAATGTTGAACCTCTTAGAGATCTCGTATTTACTGCATGAGTTGTTAAATGACGGAACACAAGGAACGATATTCAATTTGAAATTAATATTAAAATAACTTTGGACATTTCAATGTTCTTGCACATATACATGTAGTTGGTTATACTTTTCAACGATTACCTAACGATCGGATCTTGATTGTAGTTCATACTAGCGACGAATTTAACTCGTAAAAATTCGATTAATGAATAGAATATCAGTAGTGTTATATCAGGAGAAAAAACGAACTTTGCCGAAAATTCGAAACATCGAGAAATTCGAATCTTCGAAGTACGATTCATGGTAGTTTGCCTTTATTACGTGATAACGGTATGTAGTATAAAGTACGAGTAGTTTGGTACATTCACAATGTGTTATAATCTTATTCTTAATTGTTTACCTTACACAAGATAAATCGGCAGGTGGGCCTACGCAGCACGTGTTAGACGAGGCAACACCAGCACATGTTATCAGGAATAATAAAACGTACTCTGGCGACTTTTTAATAAGTCTCGCTATTGTTCAAATTGCAAATCAAAACATTTTCCATTTTAGTTTACAGCATGATAGCAAATTATTTCCAATTGCGAAAAAAACATTTAATAATCTATGTGTGTAATGCATTGGTATACAGCTAACAGTCGACACATATTTGTTATTCTAGTCATATTTGGGTTTCCGCACCACCAAAACCGGATTGACCATAGCTGTTAATAGAATATAAAACACAAACAAACCAAACAATCAGCATGTTTACCAATCAGAGTCGTTTCCTGTATGCATGATGTTTTCTTTTAATATGCCAGTGGTTAATAAAAAAGGATATAGAATTAAAGAAACAATAGAAAAGACGAAGGAAACCGATATAAAATGGAGGTGAAACTGTCTGCTTCGGATTAATAACGTTTTCATTTATTAATAATGCAATGCTGCGTTTTTGAAAATTCAGTTAGTATCATAGAATGGAGATATATAGGTATACACAAAATGCATTTGTAAGCTAGATATTACTTATTTATGAAATGCCATGACCGATTGATTTCAAGATACTTGGCTGAAAAGATGCACGTAACATACAGGCCTCCCCTGTGTGCAAGATGTATGCGTGTAGTGTCTGCGTGTGTGTTTTGAGAGGCTGTCATATGTTCGTGTTTGTCTCCTTGTGATAGCATGGAACTGATGCCGACCTTTTAGTGCTACCTCACTGAAACATACTGCCGAAGACTCCCGGCAGGATACCCCAACCGGTCACATTATACTGTCTACGGGCGAACAAGTCGTCCCACTCCTACATGTCTTAGCGTTAAGCAGGAGTAGAAACTACCAAAGCCTTCCTCGCAGGGGCGAACGTTCAACTAAAGGCCAGAAGTGAGGCATTGTTAAGGGAGACATTAGGAAGAAGAAAGTTGTTTAGAAAGAAGAGAAAAGATAAGATCCCGAATTTAGTCGCCTCTTACGATTATGCAATGGGGGCATCAGGTACAATTCTTACGTCCTACCTGCAGGGTAAATTTCAAATAGAATAATTTGTAAAATGTGTAAACTATGACCGTGTTAGTATGCAAAAGAGATAGCTGTGGTCAACAAGGTTACAGCAAAGCTCAAATATCCACCGGTGGATTTTACGACCTTGTATCTTGAAATATGAACGTAACAGAAACACATTTGATTGCATTAGGACAAAACAGGAAGGTTGGTTTGCTGTTTTACATCATCCAAATCTTCTCACTTTTAAATGTAAGGAGGCTCCACCTTTTCGCAATTAACCAGCGGAATTCGTTGAAACTTTCACGCAATAGTTATGCAAATAGGTAGAGGTGATTTTATGAAAATTTAAGCATTCCGATAGACTGGGGATGTTTTTATTATATTTCATTTTTTGTGTGTTGCATTGTTCGGAACAATAACACCAATACAAAAATGAAAACAAGTTTGCTATCTAACTCTACAAATATTTTAGTTATCGCAAAATATATCAAACACGTAACATAAAATGCTTTTTCGTGAATGGATAAAAGTGATTATCTACAAGCTAAAAATCAAGACACAAAGTTTTATACAAAAATAGAGGAAAATTGAATAAAATATACACAATGGCTTTATTAATAATTTATTTTACATTTTACAATCGCTTTGATCATGATTAGTGTTGTCTTCGTTTAAAAATATCGGCACTTTTTGCAGAGGGAACAAATTTACATAGTAACAGTTATCTCTTTTAAAAAATATTTAAAATGACGGAAAAGAAATAAAATTATGATATCAAAGGTTAATTTTATTGTTCTTTTATGGAACCAAATTACTCTCAATCATGTAAACTTTGGACTTCATTCCACAGCCCGCTATTGCATTGTATATTTTCTTGTAATGCACATATGTAGCTGGAGGCTATCTTATGGTATGCCGTTCTCACTTGCACATATGCATTTTCATAGGGATCTTAATATATTTACTTTTTTAACAGAGTCGTGTATTGCATTTTTAAAAACGATTTACTCGACAGAGCGCAACTCGCTTAAGCTAGTTTTTTCATCATTTATTGAATATTTTTTCTGAAATTTAGAGTGCATGTACCTCAATTATGTTTGAGAATTATTGGAGGAGGATTTTTTTTTGTGACAGGGATTGTTTAATGCTAACAGAATTCATTATTGAATTTGATATACAGTTTGGTGTGGCAGCCATATTGGAATGACCTTAACATCGCAAATCGTAACGACTTCGAGCTTGAGAACTGGCGTAAGCACGTGATATGCACATGTGAGACGCATCAGTCCGCATTCTATGCGATTGATATATGACCTTCTTGAAGTCGTCTGGTCTCATGTCAGTGTCTTCCCGTGAGTCAACTTATCTCTTTGTATCGGAAGTTTTATTTCTAAAGTACGTGTGATTACCGGGTGTTAACATATCGTCACGCACGTGTACTATTGTTTACACGGTGTTACTGTGATTTACACTACGGCATTTTAATAACCGTTACGCAAAACGGAAAAGACGACACGAAAAATGCGACAAGAAAAACATGTGTATAACGAAGGGTGGGAAGGCCTGAATATATACTTCTATTTGCAGAAGAACATCAAATGTAAATGATCTTTATTAAAACATAACATCAGACAGAGTGATTATGTTAAGACTTGTTTGCAAAGGTTTTTTCCTTGACAGAAAGCTGAAATAGTTCAGTCACAATGTTTTGTATAACGACAATGTATATACAGTATAGCTATTTGAAATGTTTTTCTGCCATCTTTAGAACCCCTCAGTCACTCCCATTCCAGCACCAATATAAAAAAAAAATGGTACCATTGGGTATACTAGTCTCACTGCCCCTGTGCGAGACAATTGTATGGTAGTCAGGTGTGAAGGATCAGTGTATGATAACAACTTTAACTGTTAAACAAATATTTATTGTAAAACATGTACTGTTAGCTCAGTACATTGGCTTCATCAAATACTGACTTTGATGATGGCATTGCAACAGCAGAGAGTGAACTTTGTGTCTTTAGCGTAACAGAGTGATGATGCTGTTGGTGCAAGCTTAAGTAATCCAGATGCTCTAGGTGTTCGATGACGTTTGCATGTACTTCGTGTCAAAGTCTCTCGTGGCCATAAAATATACAACGTTGCAACGTAGGTTGGAGTCTACAGTTCAATGATCAGAGCTTTTTATTAAATGTTTCATCCAATGCTTGGTGGAATGGCCGACACGACGGCATTCCACGCAGGCGTCCGGAGTTCGATTCCCAAAGTCGTCGTACGTATGGAATATTCAGAGAAAGTGTATTTCTTCTGCCTACACAACTCCAACAAACCGGATGGAATATAAAATGGTCTAGGGTGGGTGTTGCGGTATCTGTACTGTATCGTTCAAGTGAGGTGGCCCTTTAAAGGATCCTTCGGGAAGCCGATATAAACATAACACTACTTACCTCTGGGCACACACATAGGCATAGAAGTAATAATTAGCTCCTGCAAAATCTTCAAAAATGAATTTATTAATGTGTTATTTAATGTGTATGTTAATTGTATTGGTTGTGTACATTGTATATCTATATATTCTAGCTAGACAGGATGCTATATCAAATGTTGTATATTAATTTATTTTATATTTATTTGTCGTGAAAATTTTTCCTATATGTACAATTTACTGTTCATGATATTTGCGTTTGTGTAAGACCGCACTAAATGATAAAAATGTTAAGTAGGAGTTTAAAAAACAAACTATCGAGTTTGAGGACTTTTTATTATATCGAACAGTACCTTGGTCTACATTATGTAATACTTTGGTACCGGGAAAAATTACAAAAACAGCAACACCATTAGCGTAAATTTCGTAATATCAAGAGCTCCCGAAGCTCGTTAAATAAGACCTTGATTTTGTTGTATTAAGTGTTAATATGTTAGTCCAAGCAGATGACTTCCCCATAACACTGGATTTAGAAACAGGTCGTGTTTTTTTTTAAATATGTGCTTTGTAAATAGATGTCTGCGATCAGGCCTTAATGTTAAACCAATGTCTATTATATTGCCATTAAATTGTTAAGAAATTAGTCGTACAATCTACGTTAAGGAATTATCTGTTGTAAAAAGAAGACAAAGAATAACATGTAACTTACGGTGATCGATTTGTGCGATTTCTTTGTTGCGTCTTTTTAGTAACGTTTAATTCTCGTTGTTATGACTTTTCCGGGCAAAAAGATGAATGAAAGAGAATTGAGGTTTGATCATTTTCGCTTTTCAGGTCGAATAGACAATATTAATCAGTTTTTATCTTGAAAGGGCGAACATATGATACAACAAGATTTGAGGTTACGTAATTCTCGTCATTTCGGGGAGAACAGACGAAACAACAAAATGGCACATATCCCCCAACGTACTAACAACAGTGTACCTGTTTTCTATAGTGTATCACCGATTATGTATAAAACCAATTACCATACAAGTCGTTTTATATTCACTGCTGGTTAACTCTTAATCTTGTGTACATTGTAAGTAACCAGGTATGTTTTGTATTGAAAATATTACGGTATATATAATACAAAAATACAATATATTAATATCCTATGACATTTGTTTTGTTTTTGTTTTAGTCACGGTGGACATACGTCATAGATATCAACGTTTCACAAGATTTAAAAGATCAGCTGTGGTATTTCCCAAAGAACTTGATGCAATATTTAAAGTACATGAAACCAATGTACTACTTAGACTTAAGCGAGCGGAGCAAATTCGTTCCAATGTCCCGATATACATGCAAATAGATGGAAGAATACGAAAAATAAAGGTTCCGGAAAGACAGGTAGGAGAGTTGTCATGTTTCTCCCTGATAATATAGCTTTATGACAAGTGTTATTACACCCAGTTTCCGAAATTATACAATTAATCATTCCTTTTTTTAAATAACAACTTTTGTACTAAGATTAAGCAACATTGCAAATTGGAAGTTTGATTCAAAAACGAATGGAATATATATAACCTAGCGTTGACTTGATTGAATTGATCGTACGACTTTAAAATAAAGCTGTTTGTTTTCTTCTTTTGCTCGATTTGCCCTTGTTCATAATTCTACTATTCAGGGCCTTTCTATATTACAAAACTGAGTAAGAGGCATAACCCAAAGCTCTGAGTCACTGCAGCAGACGACAACAATAATACAAAGACCCTATGATTCTTACTTTTGGACAAAATGAGAAAAAAACGAAATGAGAAAAAAAAGTAGTGTTCAAAAGCATATTCAAACTAATACTCGGTAAAACCGGGACAAAATATGAAAAAAGAACTTATAACAAGACATGGGGACAATTGAATAAGTACTAAGAAAATAAGACCAGGTGTTCTAGAAGGGTAGGCGTCTTCGGCTTCAATGACGACGCCCGCCATGTATAACTATATCAAATCCAAGTAATTCCACGTCAATATTAAACACGAGGAATCAAATAACCGAATGTTCCCACGATAAAGGTAATAAATGTATATGAATTTTATTATCGGACACGCCATCAATTCCCGTTACCATGCTTATGCGTCTTGTCTCATTACAGCATCATGTCTTTTACCAAGATGTTAGACATCTTGCGTCCGTATCTGTTCAGTGCCTACGGTTCGACCAAGAGAATAGCACGTGCAGACATCAGATGGTTAGTAAAATTCATCATCATCATCATCATCATCATCATCATCATAACCATCATCATCAGCAGCAGCATCAGCATCAGCATCAGCATCATTACAATCAACATCATCATAATCCTCGTCGTTGTCGCAGGTCCTCATCATCATATGTCCAATAAGTGAGTGTTTAGTCGTTTAACATGGTGTAAATGGTACTTAATGCCAACTAATTGTATTGGCGTTTTCCAAGCGCGCTTGTAGTGTGTACTATAGTTTTATTTACGTGATAATTATAACCAAGACGAAGGATTCCACGACACTGTGAATGACATAGCAAATAAAAATAACAAACTCAAAGCTGTTTTAATACGAATCAGATATTTCTGTTGTTTTATTTCTGTGCTTATACAATATCACGTCATATGATTCCGACGGTTGCGAGGACGTCAAACCCAATAAAACATATATAAATAAACATTAATACAATATCATAAAGAGTTTACCTTGAGTAAGGTTAAAGTAAAACTGATTTTTGTTTGGCACAGACGTTTCAGGACATTTTTGCATTATCGTCTCGTTGACCTCTTCCAAAAGAAATCTACACATAGAAACTTGTAAATTATGTGATCGTTATTTTAAGTTGGAACTGTTCGATAACGTCAACGCACAGTTAAATAGGTTAAAATCAGTGCTTACAACCAGGTAATAGTTAATGATTAGGTAGCTCGGACTGTAGTATCTCGACCAGTTAAAGGTTTAGACTGCAGGTTACACGAATTTGATGGTGTCGGGAGAGAGATATACAACATTATTGGTAGCAGTGTGAGATTGAATTTGCCTGATGCTTACAATTAAAACAAAAGATATACATATAGGTTTATTTTTATGTTAACTCTTAGAATTGTAATAGCGTAATATGAAAAGTTCGTAATCTTTTTAACTGTATTTCTGTATTACATTTAGTGTTTTACAAGGCTCTATAATAAAAAAATTCGTTGGCTTTGTGTCACATTTTAATGCAATACACCATGAATAACATGCTTTTAACGCTAGCAAAATAAGCTGAAACAAACATCTTATAGATAAATCCTATAAAGAACAACCGGCACCTAGGAAATCATTGTTGGGGTATAATATTCAGGTGTCTGTCATGTTTGATTTTTCCTTTACAGTCTGGACAATTACTGATCCACGGAAAACAACATACCATAGAACCATTGTCGGCTAACTTATCATCCCCTCTGGGTCCTAATCAACACAGAGTTGAACTTGTACAGACTAAAGTTGATTTTACTTCCGATTACATATACCCAGGTAGGTCAGTGATATAGGCCCAAGTAAGTCCGTTATACATACACAGATAAGTCAATTATATATATACATACCCAAGTAAGTTAATTATACATACACAGGTAAGTCAGTTAAAGGTATACATACCCAGTTGTTCAATACTGATAAGTAACATTTTTGTAGTATTTCAATCTCGTCAAAAATACCATTTATTGAGTAGGTAATTAAACTGTGTCAAAGTGTCTGAAGGAGTGACGGCATTTGAACATGGTACTGTAGAATTTGTCTGACGTATCATGAAGATTTTCCTGTATTGATTTGTGTTGTTATGAGAATAGTTGCACTATATCCAGCATTTCTTTTAACATCGTAGTCGTTTAAGTAGTGCGGAGGAATATGACCTGATTCCCACGGTGACAAGGCTAATGTACCTGTTTACTGCACACATGCGATATCTTTTATTGGGCGGCAATATTGCACGAGAAACGTTCTGTATCATATAATAAAGAAACCCATTGTGCAGCATTTCTATTTAAGTATTATCAAATTTACCCACAAGCGTAGCCTTTGCTATTCCGTAAAATTATTTTAAATATAAAAACAGGTACTGAGGGAAACACAGCCGAGAATAGGGAAGTGAGAATACAAAACGGTTTCATCCCAAGCATTGCAATTGGGGCTGTAAATGTTCACAATGGGCTACATGAGGCGCCTCTTACAATAACGTTCAGTGGGAATTTATATACCTTTCCTTTCCCCGAACATGCACGAATTTATTACATGTACAGAATATGTCTTTCTTCGTCATTGATTAAGAAATGATTTGTCTAACACATCAAGCCTAATGTACATTCGACATTTTAAATTTACAGATAATTTCGACTTCACGAAACAAAGGCGAATGGTGGAGAACATGACCAACCATATGGGACGATTCCGTCGACAATCGATCGCCTACCTCGTTGAAATTCTATCAGTGATAGATTACCCCATTTATAACTAGTAGGTACTCCCGTTATCGTTGTATGCAATCTTGTATTCTAACACCAAGTACAGTTGCTTAAAGCAGCGCTTATTTTCTAAAATAAAACCTTCACAGAATTTGAATGTGGGTTTACAATTTTAGATTTGTTGCTTTCTGGTGATAAGTTTGAATAATCAAAAAACTTAGTTTCACCAAAGTACCTCTGCCTATTTTTTGTCATTAATTGGATACTATCTGGTGACTTCCCTTTATTAACGTTATTCTTTGGTAGCACAATATGTACATGGATTTCCACATAAAATTTGTTTATTCGTTTGTTAGTTAGTTAGTTTGTTTGTTTGTTCGGGCTTCACGACCCCTCGATAAAAGAAAGCATTCTGGGCTTCAAGTGTCAAAAAGGAACTGAAAGGTCAATTTGGAAAAAATGGTTCTATCAAAATATCAATGCACATATAATGCTAACACTGTATTCTATTATAATTGCCTATTTCCTGTATGTTCTTAATAATATGTGCCACAGGAAGTGTTTTAAAAATAACATGAATTTCTTTATACAAAATACATTTTTGTCTTTATAAATAAAACAAATTAGCTAAAGTTAACGTGAATTGAAAAACCAGAAGTTAATAGATGTTGAATATGATAGGAACATTGACACCCATTAATACTTAATCAGCAAAAATGTTTTATACTATACTGTTACAAGTTAATTATAGCTTTGTTGGACTGACGCTATCTTTATTCAACCGGACGTAATGACAGTAATTATATAGTGTATTATATAAAGTGTTAACATGAAACATAATTTGTCGTCTGATAGTGAAATTTGTAACGTCATTTTGCGACATTGCAACTAGACGCCATGTTTACTCTTTTCAAGATTTACCATTGCATTTGAAATCATCCAATATGATTGGTAATTGTCTATACATATAACTGTCTTGTTAGAGGGTCCATATAAAAACCTATGTTATGTTTCATCGCTCGGATACCTTAACAAATATTGAAGTAAGTTATGGTCATAATGAAACACACTGTCCTATGATGCTCAGAGGCATATGAAATTGACCATTTTCTTTATAAATAAACATGTAGAGAGATCTTTGAGACAGTTATACTCGAAGTTCAAAGTTTACAAGAAATACATTCGTTTGTTTTTGTATTATCGTCCTCGTAACAGCCAAGTGAGTCACGTGAGGACGGATACTTCGGTGACACCGAAATGTTTTAGAGTTATCTACTGATTATTAACTAAAAGTATTGTTTTCACTACCAAGCATTATAACCGTTTTTCGACAGTTGGTTAACTGCCAGTACAGAAACGGGGGACGCTGACAAATCGGCGGACGCCATTGAACAGATTTGGTTCCTCCAAGCGCATCTCTTCAATGCGGTATGTATAAATTGTAATTCAAAGACTCGGTCCTGGTCACAACAAACTAAGTCAAATTAAATATAGTAAGTGTAAATGCGTTTTCGACCAAATGTCAATTTTATTGTGTTGATTATTTTGTCAGTGATCTGATTAATCATCACCAGATGTCTTTCTTAACTTCATAATTATAGAGAGATATTTCGTATTAAAATTTCGATATTTAGCGAGCGAGTTGTATATAAAAAAAACAGGTTTTGAACAGCCAGGGCTGAAAAAAACATATAATCTTGATTTTATTTCGGAGGTTATAGGGTATATACTGAAGAAAATTAACATCAAAATAAGATTTGATATTCTTTGCAATCGATATCAAAGGAAAAACAATCCTTTAATTTGCATAGTTAATTACCTTTTCTTCTTTTCTCATAAAACAATTTATTTTACACAACATACAAACTTGCGCTGTACATTTAAAAGTTAGAACTACAACTAACAGTGCGTGATACGACTTCATCACTGTTGGAGTAGTCTTTATTTAAGGTTATACAATATAACCTGAAAAAGTCTATCATTGGGGGAATAGTCAAAATTAAATCATTCATGGATATGACTTTGTATCCCTAAGGTCATCTTTATCATATCATATTAGTTGTAGAAATATCATTTTCAACAAAAATTAAAATTTTCAAATAAAAAATAATAAGCAAACTGATATCAAGTATCATGATTTCTCATCAACTGATAAAATCTATATTATTTCGTACCCACGAACAACTGACATGGCATATCGTGACTAATTACTATCATGGTGTTTTGTAGTTAATATAACCTACACTGTTATACACTAGTAGCACTATCATAGTTTAGTGTTAGTCTAACCACAGTTGGTAGAGTCGGTAGAGTTGGACAGTGAAACAGCTGAATCACTGGGCAATTTTATAAAAAATAAATAGGAAGTGTTCCAAAACAAACTAACTTGATTAACTTTTAATTAATGTCTGTGTTTCAGATGGATGTCCGATACCAGAGTATCTCACAGCACACTTCAGCTTACACTATTACTCCTGTATTCGCCGGTCTCTATATAGCTGATGTAAGTAATATAAAACAGTTTAACACTATATCATAATATCAGTATATAGCGATGTTTGGTTTGGTTTTATAGAGTTAACGTCCTATCAACACCTATGGTCATTTCTAAACATTTTCTACAGGTAAGTATGGATTATGATTTTTTACACAACCAATAATGAAAGTGACTGAGTACATACCGTACTAGTCATCGAAACGTCACAAAGAAACTCATATTGGTTGTGTTAAAAGAACTTTTCATAAGCTATGGTCATGGTGAAAGGCGAGTGAGCTATTCACTGCGCCTATTGTTGATTACCGATCTCAAAGTAAAATAGTCTGGAGGTTATTCGTGATGCCTTTTCTTTTTTTGGCGTATAATCATTTCCAAATGTTGTCTTTTCACGCCGAGTTCTGATTAAGATGTGACTGTATCCTGTAAATGATTTGTTTTGGTTATAACTTAAAATTTTGTTTATTTCATGGATATAAAAACAATCGACACAATAAACCACATTAATAAAATGATAATAACCGTGTCTTAGCTTTAATGTGCAAATAAAGAACGTATAACTCTTTGACATATCTATGTTTATTTGAAACATTGGGAATAAAACGGGCTTTGCTAACTAGTAAAAGGCATATTTGTTGTGTTTATTAGCAATATTTTTGGTCAAATTGTGTACATTGACAATTTTTACATTATAACTGTTCTTGACAATGAAATGCAGTATTCATCGTACTATACATTATACGAATGATGACTACCATTGTTTATTGGATTTAATTTGATTCAAATTAAACAAAGTGAGAGTCTGAAGACCAATTGGACGTCATTTAAAAGCCTATACGGGAACCTTTATGGAAACATGAAGTTATTGATTTTTCTAAAAGAATGCAATGAAGTATATACATTGATCTTATTGGCGAAAAGGTAAAAAAAATAATCCGGACTTAAATCCGCTATTCGACTGTAAAGTACAGAGAAGACTATTCTGCTCAAATCGATTTGTTGTTTTAAAAATAGTAGCATCTTTGAACGAGATTACTGTAATGAACTGTATGTACACATTATAATTGCGGTTTGAATTTGTATTTTTCTGTCGTGCTTTTTTTTAGAGCAATACGGATATATGGTTTCCGCTAATCAATTAAAACATATTGTAACGACTGCATTGTTGTTCGTTAAGGATCCTACACTATCCCCGTGGACGGAGGACAACAAGGTTACCGCATCTCCCAGGGACCAGGTAGACGCTCTCGTAAGTCTTCAAGCTTTCAACACCTGGCGTGGTACTGCCACAGGCCTGCCCGAATTTGACCATGCAATGGCATTTACTGGTTAAGTATTTTATACACGTGTATTTCATGTCAGTTATAAAGGTTTATGACGTTATAGATGATGAAATGACGTACATGGGTAGTTGCGCGCGCGTTTAATGCAAATAATATATGTCATCTTGTATTATCACTATTTTGTTATGATTTGGATATATCCGGCAGTTTGCCAATAGACAAATCGAATATTTCAAGGCATGTCTGTAAATCTTCATAGACGATTTAGCAGAGTTATAATTATATCCACTTGAAAAACAGAGTGTGTCGCGTTTAGTCGCCTTTCTGTATTAAGTGGACAAACCTCAGCCTGTACATTCTATGTGAAATACTGTAGGTTAATGTAACCAAACTGTAGATATTGATTATGAAGACAATTATTCTGCATGAATTAACCATATGTTACCATGTTCTGTTCTTAATATTTTTTTAATGTATGAGTTAGAAATGAGAATCATCTTTCCAAAAATAAGATTTATCCATTTTCTAAATGTTTATCTGATGTTTTAGAAATTAAAGTGTCTTTATCTGGATTGTAAATCAGATGTTAGGACGGAAAGCATTGTATCTTTAGTGATTCGTATAAAAAAAGGGAATGTTGGAATTGTTTAAAGCTTACAAATGCACACGGAACTATCAAAATTATCCTGAAAAATTAATCAGTAGAGTTATCAAAAGGTTGTTTTAATAGGACAAAGACGATTTTTTTCACTTATCTCTTAAAAGATAATTGATCAGAAACCGGTAGTTATCGACATGCAGACTTAAATGGCATGTTACATTGAACAAACCGGGACTTGATCCAACTATACTTCTTTGGACTTGATCCAACAATACTTCTTTGGACTTGATCCAACTATACTTCTTTTGACTTGATCCAACTATACTTCTTTTGACTTGATCCAACTATACTTCTTTTGACTTGATCCAACTGTACCTCTTTTGACTTGATCCAACTATACTTCTTTTGACTTGATCCAACTATACTTTTTTTGACTTGATCCAACTATACTTCTTTTGACTTGATCCAACTATACTTCTTTGGTAGTTGTGACCTTTTCGGTGTTAAATATTTAAACAAAGTACTTCATTTGAAGAACATTTAATACAGTAGTATGGAACCATCACAAAAGTTTATGCTGATATACATTGATTGTTAAAACTTTTCAAGAAAATATTCTGCTGTTCTTATCCTTTGTCTGATTCAATCGTGAAATCTCTTTGCAGACTAAACAGCTCATTTGCGACAATGATGTTGTTTTAGAAGAAATGCAACTATTGGTTTAATTAGTTTAATAAACTAATCAAATAAAATTATGAATATTTTCAGTTGGATATTTTTTGTTTGTACTTGATATTTGGTAAACTGTTTATGACACTCGGTACATTTGTAACGAACGTAAGTATGCTGTCACGGTTCTATGTAGACGGCATTCAAAATAACCGGGGTTTAATTTTGTTTCCGTTTGGATATTGTTTCATATTGTTTGCCTTTTCAGGTACGACTTGACTTATTTAAGTTCGACAAGTAATGCAGGTACGTTACAACAATTGTTTTGTTAAGACGTCTTAATGTTTTTCTGATATTTTATGCTTAACCCTAACCCTAACCTTAACCCTCGGTGAGTTTGTATCTAAAGGTTCAAAACAGAAACTAAAAAGACTGATTGAATACGTTATCTCAATTAAAGAGGCTTATTTCAAGAATATACTTAAATAAAAAATATCACGGGTACTCATACCATAACGGGCCTAGTAGCTCCCCTTGTGTCAGTGTAGGCGTACATGGAAATTGTTAGCGCACGTCGGTTGTCTTTGTATTTTTTGTAATTTTTCACCGTTATGTTACAATGTATTTTTTTTGTATTGTTTTATTGTTATATCACAGCTTGCGCACGTCGATTGTCTTTGTATGTTTTTTTAATAATATGTAACTGTGTTAGCGTACGTCCGTTGTCTTTGTATCGTCTTACTTTGAATGTTATAGGTTATGCGAACGTCGTTAGTTCGTAATGTTTCAGAATTATTGGAAGTAGGTTGTTTGTAACGTTTTACTATTGTTTAAGGGTAAACGCACGTCGAAGGTCGGAGTACCTTTTTATGGGCTATGTTACAGGGCTGGCTTATGTTGGAGGCCTGTGTGGTTCAAACGCTGTTTCGATATCTGAAGATCATTTCGACCCAGTGTTTGCGATAGTAGCATCCCACGAGTTAGGACACAAGTGAGTTGTAAAACTTTCTTATGATTTCCAACTATACAGTTTTGTATATCATTTTGTGGTGGCACTGTGGTAAGTTGCTTTTAAAATTCTAAAATCACAAAATATATCCATTTCACTCTTTCTTCTCAATGGCATTCATTTAATGAGTTTGGAAAACGATCACTTAATGTAATCTTGAAAGATTTTCTTTAAAATGTTAGATGACACACATTTTTGTCTGTATCCTCATTGGCTGGATTTTTATCATAACGAGGTCGGTATGTTGTGATTTTGACTCGGTATCTTTTTGGGGTTTATTTTAACATCAGGTCAAAAATATTTTTGTGACGTCATTCAATTGTACCGTTATAATGCACTCTGGCAAATGCAGAACTTTTGTCCTTACATTTTCTCATGCATTCCGCCTTGATAAATTCTCAAAATATCATTAAGCATCTAATATAACAATGAGAGGAGACTTATATTTCGGTAAATTTGTAGTTATCACTTGCTCACGTCCGTTTTTGTTTCGGTCAGGGTCGATTCTCATGTTTAAATAACCATATATTCACTTCAACACTAGTCCATCATTGATGAAAGTCAGACTTAGGTACCCTGCCATTTTGATTTATTGTTTAATTTTTCATAATAAAATGTTTTCTATCAATAAACATTCACTGTTATCTAGGGATAGAAATTTAACTGAAAAGCAGCTTGAATATTAACCCTTGTAATCATGTGTGCAATTTAAAGACATTCTTCATTTGTTAATAACAACGTTTATTGGCGATAAGATATTCATGTAAAATTTACCAACAAACAATGGCAAGTTCATGTTTTTTCTACAAACTTCACCCGTATTGCAAAATATAAAAACGTGCATTGGACTGGTTTCCTAAGATGAATGAGGGTACATCTTTGTCTGGTACATAATTAAAAAACATGCAAATAAACCAACAAAACAGTTTGCTATTTAACCACCAATTATGCTAAAATTTCTTGCTATCAGGATGTTGCACCGAACTTAGATACCATGAAGATGACTTGAAAAAAATCTGCTAAGCGTTGATTTCCTCAGGAACCCGAGAATGTGTTACAGTTAGACCTTAACTGTTGTGTATGGAGTAGTATTATACTTCTAGGGATTAAGAGGAACTCTCTTTAAAAATAGCCCCCTCCTTCTTCCCCCCCCCCCTAAAAAATAAAGAATAGATAAATAAATAAATGCATAAAAAAATTATCACAAATACTAGTAGAGTGAAAATGTTTCCATGTCGAAAGATCGACCGAGCCTTCTTTTCTCGCATCAGTCATCATATTTCTAGAGGATGAACATAAAAAGCCTTGTCACCGTTGGGAAAATGGATATTTTTTCTTAAAACTTCTAATATCTAGTAAAGATGCTTTATCAGACATGATCTCCGTTTCGTCAAAAAATACAAGCCATTTCGATATTTCAAAATGTTTTTAGTCATACTACCTGTTTTGCAAATTCATGAGGTTGACGTAATCCTGTTACAGTCTAAATTCCAATCACGACCAGGATGGCAATGCTTGTCCATCCGGTACCAGTAACGTGATGGCTCCTAGTTCCGGGCCGAGTACAGACTCCACTACGAATACTAACCATCATGTGTTCTCATCCTGCTCAGTCGCCTACTTCACAGGTTTTATAAACCAGCTCGATACGTAAGTATGGTGATTATCATGTTCGTCCTGTTCGTTCAGAAGTTGTTTTCTTGAACTTTGGCCCATATAAGGGGTCGCATGGTATAAAGAGCATAGTTGTTTTAGTCATTGACTGATTTTTTTCGTATTCGTGAGGGTGACGTAACCCTAATACAGTCTAAACCAGACAGCATGGGTGTTGGAGATTACGATCACAATTTGTTTGTTTTCATGATGCTAAAATTGAATGACTTACACATGTTCATTAATAATAATCGCATGATGTTTCCACTTTATTATCTTCACAAAATCATCCGGCAATCATTGGGCTATGAATGTCATAGGACAGAATGACTAAAATTATCTGGTTCATAGGTTTTTTTCAGTCATACTGCTAGCTTTGTGGTAGTCATGAGGTTGCATACTTTATAAATAAAAATATGACACATTTGTTATCATTGTAAACAACTATAGACATGTACGGTTGTTAAACGAATACTTAAAAAAAAGAAATACTACATGTTAAAACTACTTACAGCTGAGATAAATAAATTATTTTGTTGCAATTGTATTGAACTTGGTATCAAGTTATTCATTGTTGTAATGGCTTATTAATGTTGTTATAAATAAAAATAAAAATGACACGTTGAATTGATTTTATTGGATATTAAGAAATAATCTTTATAAAGTAGTTAATAAGGATCCTACGGGAATGAATATGCAACTACGGCAAACACCCGACCCTCCCAAAAATCAGGATATACAATTTTGTTTCACTTTTGCATGCATCATTCAATAACAACCTATTACACTAGTGTTTCTTTAGTGACAAGAATATCAATTAGACTAGATTAACCATGGTATTAATGTTGGAGATTATAATATGTTTGTTGTCATGATGCTGCAGTGTAATGACTTACAAAAATTTAATATTCCTTGATGCGTTCATCGATCAACAAACACATGGTGTTTCCACTGTATAATCTTCACCAACTCCTCCGGCAATCATTGGACTTTGAATGTCATAGGACAAAATTGCGTTTACTTATATCACTCTACGGTCGTCCAAAACAGATAATGACTATTGACTGTAAATGTATATAAATATATTTGTAAGCTTTTGTCATACAAATATATTACCACATGTTGACAAGATAACGTACCAATACCTTGTTATATTTTAAAAAGTTAATATAGAAAACGCATTCGTTATTAAATTTGGAAACATATTGTAAATATGAAATTTCTACCGTACTGTGTGGTTCCAAATGTAGATTGACATTTTTGTGTTCACTTGCATGCACAAAGCTAAGTTACTGAAAAGTTTCAATGAATACATGAACATTTTTCGTTTGTATTGACCTTGTGTATTTGATCGTGTTCATGCTCTCAGTATATAAAAATAAATATGCAGTAGCAGTGCTTTGTTTACAGAGACAGTAACAATTGTATGACCAGTTTGAGTTCCGGCTATGACCCAACCGCACTTGACCAATTCCTAACCTTGCCAGGAGAGGGTTTCTCTATAGATGACCAGTGCCGTTCTCAGATGGACAGTGAAGAGTCACACATGTGCAGGGTACCCGCTTCTTATACAAACCGGTGTTTATATATAAATATCGACGCATGACTCTCTAGGAGAACCAAACCAAATGTGATCTTACATTTGTTAGATAAATATCAATTTACTTTGTACCTTACTATCAATTAAAAACAATGTTTGTTCATTTTCCATAAATAGATACCATCCACTTCCATTTCTATTTCAAGCTGATATTTCTGGCGTGTGGTTCTACAAATAGAAAGCAAACTACTGTCAGGGTCAAGTAGGGCCTTAAATCGGTGTTACTGTACCCTGAAAGGGACTCTTTGGTATTTTGGCTAATAAAGGGAGATAAACGATCAATAAAGTCTGAAAATAATACATAGTTCAAATATTTTACAAGTATGTCGTTTTGCTTTTAGAGAAAATACAAAAAATCTGATAATGCACTTGAACCTGGGGCACATTCTTCCAGTGGCGCTATTGTGTCCAGTTGTTGTCGGGGCCTATTTACTTTGAGTTCGTTTTATCAATATTTTTGTTTATAAATTTATGTATTTTACTTCCTCCAGTATTTCCGATGGTTTTCTTTTTGTTTGTTTAAGACATTGACCTCCGACCCCGATGCTGTGTGTCAGTATATCTATTGTGCAATCCCAAATGAAAGCAGCTGTCGGACAAAGTTCGTATGGGAGGGAACACAGTGTGGGAACGGAAAGGTGAGTTTGTTTTATGTGCTATATAACGTTACTTTAAGCTTCGCTGCAATATCACGTGCTATTACTTTGTTATGAAAAGCAGGCAACAGGCATTTCATTTGTACTTAATTACACGATAATAATGATAACACAATTGTTCAGTTGTCTTATAGGTGAATCTAATCTTAAATCAAAGCTTTTGAGTTCATGCATTTCATTTGTTAAGTGGTCGAAAAGTGTCGTCACCCAGAAGGCAACAGTGTGTTTTACTTTTGTTTATGTATGTTGTTTTGTTGGAAACGATTTCTAATACTTTGACTATATTCTAACCTAGATGTGCATCAATGGACAATGTGTAACAGACAGCAGAGCAGTACCGTCGTTTTCAGGTGATAATATCCCATATGATAATGATAACATGAGTGTAAGTAGTGTTATGTTAGAGATATTAGTGAGAACTATAAAAAACACTTGTACTCGAGTTCCATTTATCACATAGAATTAAAAGTAAGTTATTTTCTTTTAAACACGTTCAGATCTTGTGACATTATTAATGTCCTCTTAACTAAATCTACTTTAATGAATTTCAAATTGCAAGTCACTTTTGTTTTTAATACATTTCCCTGTGTTATTTATTTTTTATACTTTCAGACACGTGTATTTTTGGCGACGAGCCTGGTATCGTTGCTAATGGATTAAACTGTAGCGAACTTATTGCTATAGCTTCATATGCCTGTTACCCACAGTATGGTTACGAAATTAGATGTTGTGAGTCGTGTGCTCAAGCATACACGTGCGAGTCCGGTGAGTTAAACACTTTTAGTCAGAGGTGTTAGTCGGTGAGTTAAACACTTTTAGTCAGAGGTATTAGTCGGTGATGTTAGACGCATCATAACGTGATATATGACGGTATAAAGTTAGACTTCTGATCTTGTTGTGCCGACGTTACGGTATACATTCAGACTTCTGGCCTCGGTATGCCGACGTGACATTATAAAGTTAGACTTCTGATCTTGTTGTGCCGATGTTACGGTATAAATTTAGAAATAATTATCAGCTTTATTATTCTCTTATTTTGCCGTCACATATACCTTACGCATGCATAGGTTTTCCATGTTACCTTATTGTGTTACCATTACAATAAACAGTCAAGGAATTGAATTGTTTTTAACAATACATTTATTCATCACTTGATTATGTTTCACTTGTTTAATTTGAACTATATTTATCTCTGACATTAAGGTTGTGAGTATGGGGACACGGGGACTGGATGTAACGTTGCAAACTGTCCTTTCTACGATGCAGCAAGTTTATTGCAATGTTGTGGCACTTGTTCCCCGACGCCACTCCAGTGTCCAACATCTACGTCAGTCACTACTACTACTCAACCAACTACAACTACTACTCCAACTACCACAACTACAACTGCAACTACCACAACTGCCACTTCAACTACAACAACTACCACTCCAACTACCACAACTACTATTCCGACTACCACAACTACTACTCCAACTACCACAACTACCACTCCAACAACTACAACTACCACTCCAACTACAACAACTTCCACTCCAACTACCACGACTACCACTCCAACAACTACAACTACCACTCCAATAACCTCAACTACCATTCCAACAACCACAACTACCCTTCCAACTACAACAACTACCACTCCAACTACCACAACTACAACTCCAACTAACACAACTACCACTCCAACTACCACAACTACCACTCCAACTACAATAACTACCATTCCAACTACAACAACTACAGCTCCAACTACAACAACTACCACTCAAACTACAACAACTTCCACTCCAACTACAACAACTACCACTCCAACTACCACAACTACCACTCCAACTACAACAACTACTATTCTAACTATCACAACTACCATTCCAACTTCCACAACTACTATTCCGACTACCACAACTACCACTCCAACAACTACAACTACCACTCCAACTACAACAACTACAACTCCAACTACCACAACTACAATTCCGACTACCACAACTACCACTCCAACAACTACAACAACCATTCCAACTACCACAACTGCAATTCCAAGTACCACATCTATTACTCCAACCACAAACTCCAGTGACGTCAACTCTGTGACCAAACAGGTTTCGTCTAGTGCGGATTTGGGTTTAGCATTGATGGAATTAAGTAAGTCTTGCTTGTATAGTGTATTACACTTAATTTAAACATGAGTTAGGGAGAAGGCTGCAGAATTTCAAGAGATCATTCTTGATATATACGTTAGTAAAATGATATCAATAATTATAATGATATACAAAAACATGGCAAGACATTCTCATATAATAAGTATAAATGCCACTAATAACACAATAAGACATAAGCTCATACTCTTTTATGTTTCTCGGTGTTATAGGTCTCTACATCACCATATCAGCTGTTGGTGTGGTGGGAGCGGGCGTGGCTGGCGTTGTCATTTACAGGTGTGTCAGGTCGACGTCAAAGGTCTGTACATCATAAAACAAGTTAATTTTGTAAATGGGAAGTGTACCTTATTACTTCATTTCTCTGTCGGACAATCCAATTATCAACCATATAACACAAATATATCTTCATTATCATTCCATAGTCATAGTTTATCCTTCATTCGATTCTTTATTTTTAAGGTGACTCCGAAGCCATAGTGGCATGGACAGTGATGTTGTCGTTGACCGAAGAAGGATTTTTTCATGACACGCAAGGAAAGTAAGACAACTCCACCGTCCCTGATGTGAGGAGTTTATTATTATCGTAACCAATTTTCATCCTTTTGTTTTACATAGTTCATTTTGGAATCTACACATCGATTAGTTTACAAATTACTAAAACCATGTTCCTATGGGTAAAGTAGTTCGATGTTGATCCAAGTAGATAACCATGTAAATGGCAGGTTCCTCATAGGTTGTAGTAAACACGACTTTTCTGTAGCAGTTCAGTGAGTCTCTTGTTTCATAGGGGAATGTTCATGATGGTGCCCGTTTTATTTAAGTATCCCCGCGGTTTCTGTTGCCAAATGTTTTACTTGTACATATAATAAGACAGTCTTTCTTTGTTATTAACATGATTTCCTTACTGTTATATGATATTCAAAATATGGTAATGATACAAATTATTTGTAACAAGATACAGCATGCATGTATGTCGACTGTGTGTTACATTTCTAAATCGTTTCTCTTTATATAAACAGAACACATGTTATATGCAAATCGTCTTATCCCACATGTCAATTTACGGTTTGTACATGTATTGATGTAAGCTCACATGCATTCGTATAAGATAATATGTTATGGTGTAAGTCATGTTGTGTTTTCAAAGGGTAATATATATTTTATGCAAGACAATGTGTATATATGTAAGACAAGATGTGTTGAGGAGTGGTAAGTTACACTGATGTAATATAGTATATTGATATAAGATAATATATATAATAAGACTATAATATAAGACTCTTTCATGCCCAATGGTGTAGGATAGGGAAATTCCACTCAAAATTTCATTTGAAAATCCCGAGGGTGGAATTTTCCTATCTTACGAATTCGTCAGCGATATAAAGCATACCCCATATTTGCAAACAATGTTTGCGCAGAAAAAAAAAGTATCTCATCTTTCTAACGTGTACGGTAATTAATTTCATCAAGTTGCCTTTCCCGCATGGCGGCATCTGTGACGTCACGTGACATGAAATGGTTTGTAGGGTCGAAATTTGCTACACCCCTTTCTTACCCTGGACCGATCTATCTTACACACAGTGAAATGAGAGAAATATATATACATTGATGTAAAGCAATACATAGTGAAATATGACAATATGTATATATTGATGTAAAGCAGTACGTAGTGAAATAAGACAATATATATATATTGATGTAAAGCAATACGTAGTGAAATAAGACAATATATATATACATTGATGTAAAGCAATACGTCGTGAAATAAGACAATATATATATTGATGTAAAGCAATACGTAGTGAAATAAGACAATATATATATTGATGTAAAGCAATACGTAGTGAAATAAGACAATATATATATATATTGATGTAAAGCAATACGTAGCGAAATAAGACAATATATATATATTGATGTAAAGCAATACGTAGTGAAATAAGAAAATATATATATATTGATGTAAATAAATACATAGTGAAATAAGACAATATGTATATATTGAGGTAAAGCAATACGTAGTGAAATAAGAAAATATATATATATATTGATGTAAAGCAATACGTAGTGAAATAAGACAATGTATATATATTGATGTAAATCAATACGTAGTGAAATAAGACAATATATATATATTGATGTAAATCAATACATAGTGAAATAAGACAATATGTATATATTGATGTAAAGCAATACGTAGTGAAATAAGACAATATATATATATTGATATAAAGCAATACGTAGTGAAATAAGACAATGTATGTATATTGATATAAAGCAATACGTAGTGAAATAAGACAATGTATATACATTGAAATAAAGCAATACGTAGTGAAATAAGACAACATATATATATTGATGTAAAGCAATACGTAGTGAAATAATACGTAGTGAAATAAGACAATATATATATACTGACGTAAAGCAATACGTAGTGAAATAAGACAATATATATACATTGATGTAAAGCAATACGTAGTGAAATAGTACAATATATATACATTGATATAAAGCAATACGTAGTGAAATAAGACAAGGTATATATATTGATGTAAAGTAATACGTAGTGAAATAATACAATGTATATATATTGATGTAAAGCAATACGTAGTGAAATAATACGTAGTGAAATAAGACAATATATATATACTGACGTAAAGCAATACGTAGTGAAATAAGACTATATATATATATTGATATAAAGCAATACGTAGTGAAATAAGACAATATGTATATATTGATGTAAAGCAATACGTAGTGAAATAATACGTAGTGAAATAAGACAATATATATATATATTGATGTAACTCAATACGTAGTGAAATAAGACAATATATATATACTGACGTAAAGCAATACGTAGTGAAATAAGACAATATGTATATATTGATGGAAAGCAATACGTAGTGAAATAAGACAATATATATATACTGACGTAAAGCAATACGTAGTGAAATAAGACTATATATATATATTGATATAAAGCAATACGTAGTGAAATAAGACAATGTATATACATTGATGTAAAGCAATACGTAGTGAAATAAGACAATATATATATATTGATGTAACTCAATACGTAGTGAAATAAGACAATATATATACATTGATGAAAGGTAATGAACATATACTGATGTATGACAGATATTGATGTAAAGCAATACGTAGTGAAATAAGTAAAGCAATACATAGTGAAATATGACAATATGTATATATTGATGTAAAGCAGTACGTAGTGAAATAAGACAATATATATATATATTGATATAAAGCAATACGTAGTGAAATAAGACAACGTATATATATTGATGTAACGTAATACGTAGTGAAATAAGACAATGTATATACATTGATGTAAAGCAATACGTAGTGAAATAAGTAAAGCAATACATAGTGAAATATGACAATATGTATATATTGATGTAAAGCAGTACGTAGTGAAATAAGACAATATATATATATTGATGTAAAGCAATACGTAGTGAAATAAGACAATGTATATATATTGATATAAAGCAATACGTAGTGAAATAAGACAACGTATATATATTGATGTAAAGTAATACGTAGTGAAATAAGACAATGTATGTATATTGATATAAAGCAATACGTATTGCTTTACATCAACTTATATATATTGTCTTATTTCACTATGTATTGCTTTACATCAATTTATATATATTGTCGTATTTCACTACGTATTGCTTTACATCAATGTATATACATTGATGTAAAGCAATACGTAGTGAAATAAGACAATGTATATACATTGATGTAAAGTAATATGTAGTGAAATAGTACAATATATATACATTGATGTAAAGCAATACGTAGTGAAATAAGACAATATATATACATTGATGAAAGGTAATGAACATATACTGATGTATGACAGTATATGGATACCATTTAAAGATGATAACAAACAGTTTATTAGGTCCATTTGACCGAATTGTATTTTCTCTTCTTTTTATAAAGCTGGCAATAGTTCTTTTTAAACACCAACCACATCAGACAATGTTTGTCATTCATTCCGAGTCAGAGAAAAATGCATTCCAGACTCCTTGATAAGCAGCTAATTGATTCCGTCCAAATAACGTATCAATTTTAGTATTAACTCACATGGTAGATAATAGAAAAATATTAGATGCAATTATAATTATGATTGATCTGACGAAGCAATAATGTGTTATTGTTGAAATAAAAACAATAATTTGAAGAGCTTAAATGTGTGCTTTGTTAATTAACTCTTTTCGTACTGCAACTTGGGTCCGGATTCCGTACTAGATGTCCTTACTAGAGTCACATATAATAAAATGGTGGATTATCAATGTAATTAAAGAGTAGGTATAATAGCTGCAATAAATAAACAGGTTACCGTAATCCAATGTTGTTATTGTTTCATGTCGTTGTTAATAGATATGAATAACCTCCTTTGTGCAGCATTATGACTAACTGACAGCTGATTATGACTGCGAAAAGTCGATATTTGTCTGGAAAACGAACGAAACGATTGTTTTCAAAATAGCGTTGCAGTGCGGGTCCAAAAGAGGGATTGATTTTGGTAACAAAGTCGTTTTTTTCTTAATCCTTGTAGCTTTTATCGTGACTTATATCAAAATATCCATAGTTTCTTCCATTAGTCTCAATAAATATTTTGTGATGAATTTACGAGTGTTCGTATCGAATTGGGTCACCGCCATATTGTTTATATTAAGACCACCAAACCCAACATCTTACGGCAAATTCGAAAAGAATAGGTCACCTGATGAAAAATGTACTCTTCACCTTTAAAATCTGGTTTGCCAAATAATGGGTGCTGATTTAAGTGACAATTTCTGTGATTACACGACTGTCGTGTGCTAACACCAAAGTCTTTTGTCGTGTATATATTTTTGTCGTCTGTACACAACAACGGGAACCAGAAAGCACATATTATTTTCGTGTGTACACGAATAGATGAAATAAGAAGTTAGATTAAATTGCTGCACGTGCCTCAATACTTCTGTACACTAGGTGGTACCTCCTCATGAATAGTTAATGTTGTATTTATTGTTAAACGTACTTGGGGAGAATTTTATAGGGAGTCCAGAGTTGGGAGTCTAGGGTGGAGAATCGGGACTCAAAGTACGAGAATGTGAGCCTCTGGAGAGAGAGGCCAGAAGGGCCTAGAATGGCCCGGGTACAGTACTTGGTGTGCTTTCGAACCATGTGTTTGATGTTGTAACGCTATATCATATGTGTACAGGTAAATGACCTTTGACCTTCACTTTTGAAAATGTTTGTCCAGGACATATCTTCTTTCCCCGCTTATCAAACACTGAACCTTCAGATACTTTTCATGGAACTGTCGCTTGGATGGCTGACTAATACCCCCTCCCCCCATCAACTCTAATTCCGTCTTTGGCCCAAACACTTGTTAATAAATACCAGTACGACTCATCCAATATGGCATATTGGAGAAAAAAGCGCGCGACAGCTAGCAGATTTTTGCATTTAAAACAGAAGATTTAAAGTTCAAACCACGAAGATAATCAAATGATTTAATTTCTGTTATACACATGTTCATATTATACATAATAAAATTACCGATAAAAAAGCTATAATTTATTTGTGCTTGGCTGTTATGAAAACTATTTTCCTTGATGTGTAAAAGTTGCCCTCATCCGTAACTACTATCTCGCAGTTGTCTCCCTTCCAACAGTTTTTTTTTATAATTTGATAAATGTTCAAAAATCGATGTAGTAGAATATTCTTATTGCTATTGAAAATAGTATAAACTGAAATGTTAACAAAATTTTCAGGATATTTAAATAAGTAAGTATTTCTTACATAAACTATGAACGAAGTGCTACAAAAGTTGTCTCCCTAGCATTTTAAGTAACGGGGGTTTACCACCAGACGTCACAAATTCTATACTTCCGCTGGAAAGAAATTACTGACGTCACGTCCGATAGGCGGTCTCAATACGGCGTTATAAACGCCTCCGTAAACAAGACATTTGTTATATTTAAGGTAGATCTTACAAAGCCTACTTGAGATATGGAACTTGACTGTCGCGGCCACAACGTAAAGATAATAACAAGAGGCCAAGGGTAATGGCCTACGTAAACAACCAAAGATTGTATGCGATTTCACACTATGATGGTTTGTTTTTGAATTGATAAGTTTTAAAATTATATTTTCAAATAATTTTTCACAATGCAAAAAACATATTTTGAATATATGTTTTAGTGCGGAATGC